AAGAGTTTTTTATGAGGATAGTGAGGCTCAGGTTAGGGTGTGTAGAAGAGAGGGAGACTATTTCTCGGTAAAAGTAGGTCTTAGATAGGGATGTGTAATGTCACCATGGTTGTTTAGTATATTTATAGATGGGGTTGTAAAAGAAGTAAATGCTAGGGTGTTACAGAGAGCGGTGGGATTAAATTATGGGGAATCAAATACAAAATGGGAATTTACACACTTTTTGCTGATGATACTGTGCTCATGGGAGATTCTAAAGAAAAATTGCAAAGGTTAGTGGACGAGTTTGGGAGTGTGTGTAAAGGTAGAAAGTTGAAAGTGAACATAGAAGAGAATAAGGCGATGAGGGCATCAAATGATTTAGATAGAGAAAAATTGGATATCAAATTGGGGAGGAGGAGTATTGAAGAAGTGAATGTTTTCAGATATTTGGGAGTTGATGTGTCAGTGGATGGATTTATGAAGGATGAGGTTAATCATAGAATTGATGAAGGAAAACAGGTGAGTGGTGCGTTGAGGTATATGTGGAGACAAAAAATGTTATCTATGGAGGCAAAGAAGGGAATGTATGAAAGTATAGTAGTACCAACACTCTTATATGGTTGTGAAGCTTGGGTTGTAAATGAGGCAGCGAGGAGGAGGTTGGAGGCAGTGAAGATGTCCTATCTAAGGGCAATGTGTGGTGTAAATATTATGCAGAAAATTCAAAGTGTGGAAATTAGGAGAAGGTGTGGAGTTAATAAAAGTATTAGTCAGAGGGCTGAAGAGGGGTTGTTGAGGTGGTTTGGTCATTTAGAGAATGAATCAAAGTAGAATGACATGGAGAGTGTATAAATCTGTAGGGGAAGGAAGGCAGGGTAGGGGTTGTCCTCAAAAAGATTGGAGGGAGGGGGTAAAGGAGGTTTTGTGGGCGAGGGGCTTGGACTTCCAGCAAGGGTGCATGAGCATGTTAAATAGGAGTGAATGGAGAAGAATGGTATTTGACCTGATGACCTGTTGGAGTGTGAGCAGGGTAATATTTAGTGAAGGGATTCAGGGAAACCGGTTATTTTTATATAGCCGGACTTGAGTCCTGGAAATGGGAAGTACAATGCCTGCACTTTAAAGGAGGGGGTTGGGATATTGGCAGTTTGGAGGGATATGTTGTGTATCTTTATATGCATATGCTTCTAAACTATTGTATTCTGAGCACCTATGCAAAAACAGTGATTGTGTGTGAGTGAGGTGAAAGTGTTGAATGATGATGAAAGTGTTTTCTTTTTGGGGATTTTCTTTCTTTTTTGGGTCACCCTGCCTCGGTGGGAGATTGCCGGCTTGTTAAAAAAAAAAAAACTCGTTTAGTCATCTCTCACCCTACATTAAGACTACTTGTTATTGTTGTTAATGCCTAGTTCTAATGCTAACTCAATATATGTTAGTGTAAACTTGTAATCTGGCATCTATACGTATTTACAAGTAGAAAAAATGGTGTTCTGCTTTCCGGTAATGTCTGCTCTCCAATGTTAGTCTGAAACCTAACCTGCTGTATGAGTGGGGTCCTACTGTATAGACTTTTACCTGGGATGTAACAAGACCAAAGGTTATGGTTTGAAATTACATGAGCCACAGGGATATATGATAACATTCAACAACAGATTGGCAAAGAAATTAAATGAACTAAACAATAGCAAAATGGGAGCAGACTCTGTATGGTGGTTTAAAAATATAAATGACTGATATTACTAATAATTAAGACTTAATTTTCTTATTCAAAGTAAGCATGACAATGTAGACCTTAAACCTTAAACGGTCCAAATGTATATATACATTCACTGGCACATCGCCGAATATTTAACCCTTTCAGGGTCCCCAGGCTTACTCCAAGACTTGTTCTCAGGGTCGCCCAAATTTAAAAAAAAAAAAAAAATTCTTGTGAAAAGATAGAGAATCTTTTCCCGATCATAATGACACCAACAGTATGAAATTTGATGGAAAACTTATGGAATTATGCTCTCGCGAAGTTAGCAGTCTCGACGATGTTTATGCATTGGCGATTTTGCCAACTTTGAGCCCTATTTTCAGCCAATTCCATTGTACTAGTCGACAAAAATCATAACTATTTTGCTAGAACTCCATTTTTTCTATCGAATGAGCACAAGAAACCACTCATTTACCAATTTCAACTATCCAATACAGTGGTCAGAATTTAGCAATTTTGCCAATTTCACACAAATTTCAAAAGATGCCAATTTCCAAATAGGGTTCAGAATAAACAAGAAAGACATTCCTGGCACTAAAATAACATTTCCTCTGTTCATTAGGCACGTCCCCATGCCCCTCTTACATTCTTTTGCTTTCCACTCTGAATTTTTATTCTCACAAAAAATAGAAGATTTACTGTTATGCAGACTACTGCATTAGCGTAGAAATGGTATAAATAATATCAGAGCACTTGTGAAAGAATATTAGACTCACCAGTTGGCGTGTATTTTACGCTTAGCATGATTTGTTTGCTTTTGAACTTTGGTAAAAATTGAACATTTCTGCTACTTTGAGCTCAATTTCAAGGTACTTTTCATTGTAAAACCAGTCAAAATCATCTCAATTTCTGTAATATGTCTTCCATTCTATAGAATGAGACCAGGAAAACTAGAATACAACAATAAATACCATACGAAAATACAGTGCAAAGTCGCTGTTTTAATCCAAAAACACGGTCGAAGTTTTTTTTCTCGTTACGCACTGTGTGCTGCAGGATTTTTTTTTATACTGCACACACTGACCATAGACCCATTCTTTCATATGTAGGCCTACCAGCTTTCTCTCACTAGATTTGAGGGCACTAGAATTTAAGCGTACCAGTACGTCAAAAACCCTGGTGCGTAAGCCGTACTAGTACATCCGAAACCCTGAAAGGGTTAAAAAAAAAAAAAAGTTTTTATAGAAAAAAAGATCACATTTTTTTTGTGTGTTTTAGAATAAAAAAAAATTTAGGGTCAGTACTTACAGAGATACGAGGCCCAGAAGTTGGCACTGGATGCTCACATGACGGCAACATGGAGCCCTGCCTCTTGCAGAAGTGTTGCCAATATACCTTTTTTTCTATTTTTCATATTATTTTATATAATTTTTATGTTCTGATATTTACAAATTATAGTAGTTCTTGTCATTTCATAACCAATCTTTGTTCTGCCACTAGTATTAGGTACTGAAATTGTACTCAAATGTCACAAACACAGGGGGGGGGAGGGGAGGGGAGGGGAGGGGAGGGGAGGGGAGGGAGGGGAGGGGAGGGGGGAGGGAGGGGAGGGGATGGAGGGATGGGGAGGGAGGGAGGGAGGGGAAGAGAGGGAGGATAGGGGAGGGGAGGAGAGGGAGGGGAGGGGAGAGGAGGGGAGGAGAGGGAGGGGAGGGGAGGGGAGGGGGGGGAAGGGGAGGAGAGGGAGGGGAGGGGAGGTAGGGGAGGGGAGGGGAGGTAGGGGAGGGGAGGAGGGGGGAGGGGGAGGGGAGAGAGGGAGGGGAGAGAGGGAGGGGAGAGAGGGAGGGGAGGGAGGGGAGAGAGGAGGAGGGGAGGGAGGGGGGAGGGGGGAGAGAGGGAGGGGAGAGAGGGAGGGGAGGGAGGGGAGGAGGGAGGGAGGGGAGAGAGGGAAGAGAGGGAGGGGAGGGAGGGGAGAGAGGGAGGGGAGGGACAGTGACATGATGAGATAAAGTCTGACGTTTGATAAGCATAAAAGGGTGGTGGAGGTGGCAGCAGATAAGAAAAGACTAGACGTGACATTTGATGAGCATCGCCCTGCTTTGTTTTCGCTGGTACACAAACATGTCTGTCAAAGTCTATTTGTCTGTCTGTCAAGCTCCCTGTCTGTCTATCCATCTATCCATCTATCTATCTGTCTCAGAGAGAGCCACAAGACTTCATCATCATGTTTACTAACATCTTCAAGCAGAGTATAGCACTTTGTCTGGATTTTTGGGGTTATCCTAGGTAATTTATATTATGTATACTTGTATTTGTGTGTACCTGTGAGACAGAGATAGACAGAGACAGACTGAAAGAGATAGACAAAGGCAGAGACAGACACAGATAGACAGAGACAGATAGAGACAGAAAGAGGAGTGTTAAAATGACATTACATCAATGAATCCTTGGTGTTTGCCACACTGTTTGCTCTAGCTGGTGCTCAATTTAACTGCCGCTCCCACAAGGTACTAAGTGGTCCCAGATTTTTTTAATATGGTGCACACCGAGTGTTAAGGCCCATTCTATTTGACCAGGCATCTCAGGGCAATTGTGCCAAATTTGGAGGCAGGAAAATTAAAACTTATATATACGTTTGGGGCGCTATATGTTTGGGCCCTATGTGTAAGAACATATATGTATGCTTGGACCGTTTAGGGGTTAAAAAAAATCAAGTGACTGATCAGAATAAAAACACAAACTCCAATAATTTCAAATACTATACAAGAGCCCCCCCCAACTTAAAATTTACCAAGCCATTTTAGCCCTTAAACTGTCCAAACAAATTCACGTTCACATGCGTAGTGCTCCAAAAGTACATCTACGTTTTTTTACATATTTTCAAATATAACAATAAAAAAAGTAGATCAAAGTTTTTTTTACACATTTTCAAATGTAAAAAAAAAAGATTTACTTTTTTTACATACTTTCAAATGCTGAAAAAACATTTATCTACGTTTGGACAGTTTAAGGGTTAAAGAGAAAATTAAAAGCACTCCTACACTAACCAATTTGTGAAAATGTTGACTATCAAAGTTTATGCAAGGCAAGGACAGTGCTCAACTTTAAAGTTCAATGGGAAAATCTTGCTGATATTAACTTACTACACAATCCATGGGTGTCCATTTGCCTTCAATGCCATTAGATAAGGCAACTATCACATGAATAATGGTGAAAAAATCTGATTTCATTTCTACCAATAAAATCTGAATTATTTGTATTTTTATGTTCTTTACCTCAATTTGTTAACAAAAAATGCAAAAAAAAAAAAAATACTACAAACCTTAACAATAATCCAATGATGCTTGTCTGACTTTGAGCCAAAAAGGGTAAATATTGTTGTGTTTTCTCCAGGTTCAGTCATTAAGCCATATATGCGTAGCTTCTGTAAAATGGAAGTAGTACATTACCACACTGCGTTCATTATATCATACCTTCAACATCACACATTAAATAAGAAAGCATAACTTGCATAAATGTATTTTTAACACACTAGCCATCTCCCACCAAAGTAGAGTGACCCAAAAAAGAAAAAAAAAACACTTTCACTATCACTCACTATATCACTGTCTTGCCAGTGGCACTGATACTACAGTTCAGATTCCCCTCAAAACTGCAAATATGCCTCACTTGTATAATACAGCAAAGCCTTGATTACAGTCTCTCTTCACTTAACAACAGAGTTCTGTTCCTAAGAGGTCAGTAAACGAATTGGTTGTTAACTGAGGAGCATACTATACTGGTAGTGGGTTTGTGTCAATCATCTTTAGATATTATTAATGTCACATTTGCACCATTTATAACATTTTTAGTATATTTTTAAATATTTATACAGTATATTATAGTAACAGAATACAGTATATTGTAATATACAGTATACTGTAATAAGGGAATAGGGAAAATCGGCTCTAATATACATTACTGAGGTATGAATGCTTGTTAGAGAGCTGGTAATAAGTCCAAGCAGTCGTTAAACGAGTACGTCTTTAAGTGAGGAGAGACTGTAATATGAATTTGAATAGTATGAAATTTGATTTAGTATGAATTATAAAATTATGCCAGATCTTATTTAAAACGAGTCACAATTAAGTCAGTACAAGTTTGCTGTTCACCCCGATGGCTCCTGCTCCTGTCCCAGTTGTCAGTATGGCTCTGTCTGTTGTGTGAAGACATGCTGCAGCTTGATATCCTATACACTTTTTCTTTTCTTACTAACAGATCAGTCATTTCCCACTGAGGCAGAGCCACCCGAAAAAGAACACTTTCATCGTCACTCATTCCATCACTGTCTTGCCAGAGGCGTGCCTACACTGCTGTTCAAAAACTGCAACATATCTCCACCCCCTCCTTCAGAGCACAGGGATTGTACCTTCCACCTTAAGGACTCAAGTCCAGCTAACCAATTTCCCTGAATCTCTTCATAAATGTTACACTGCTTACACTCCAGCAGCACATCAAGTCATAAAAACCATTTGTCTTCACTCACTCATATGTAACATGTTCACACACATTTGCAGGATGTCCAAACCCTTCAAACACAAAACCTCCTTTACCGCTTCCTCCAACCTTCCCTAGGGCAGCCCCTATCCTGCCTTCCTTCCACTACATATTTATATGCCCTTGAAGTCCCTATTTTGTTCCAACCTTTCAAAATATCTGAACCACCTCAACAACCCCTCCTCAGCCTTCTGGATAATACTTTTAGAAATCCCTCACCTCCAAATCTCAAACTACAGATTCTCTGCATAATATTCACACCACACATTGCCCTCAGACATGCCATCTCCACTGCCTCCAGCCTTCTCCTTGTTGCAACATTCACCACCCAAGCATCACACCCATATAAGAGCATTTATAGTATTTCATTATATTTTAAACTTTGATGAAATGCCCTTAGCAAAAATGAACAAACAAAAGAATACTTATCGTGAAAATAATGCAAGCACAAAAAAGAGGAGGCTTGTTATTACATTAGAACAAAAAATTGATGTAATAAAGCAACATGGACATGGTGACAGCAACTCTAAAATAGGCAGAGACGTTGGAATGAATGAATCTACTTTATGTAAAATTATAAAACACGGTGATGTAATAAAAGAAAAAGGTACAATTGCACCAGCTTTTTGTGGCTTGGAAACAACTACTAGAAATAGATGCCTTACAATGATACATTACAAAAAAAGAAAAAACCCTAAACCATGGAGGCAAAGAATGGAATGTATGAGATAATGGTACCAACACTCTTATATGGGGTGTGAAGCATGGGTTGTGAACACTGCAGTGAGGAGGAGGCTGGAGGCAGTGGAGATGTTGTGTCTAAAGGCAATATGTGGTGTAAATACTATGCAGAGAATTCGTAGTCTGGAAATTAGGTGTGGAGTTACTAAAAGTATTATTCAGAGGGCTGAAGAAGGTTAGTAACCCTTTGACTGTTTTCGACGTATAAATACGTCTTACGAGCCAATGTTTCTGACGTATATATACTCAATAATTCTAGCGGCTTCAAATCAAGCAGGAGAAAGCTGGTAGGCCCACATGTGAGAGAATGCATCTGTGTGGTCAGTGTGCACCACATAAAAAAAATCCTGCAGCACACATTGCGTAATGAGAAAAAAAAAACTCTGATCGTTTTTTTGGAATAAAACGCCGACTTTGAGGTGTATTTTCATATAGTATTTATCGTTGTATTCGCGTTTTCATGGTCTTAGGTGATAAAATGGAAAACATATTACAGAAATAGAGATGATTTTCATTACTTTTACGATGAAAACGACCTTGAAACTGAGCTCAAAGTAGCGGAAATGTTCGATTTTTACCAATGTTCAAGAGTAAGTAAATCACACCACACGTCCAATACACGTCAACTGGGGAGTCTAATATTCTTTCACTAGTGCACTGATATTATTTATACCATTTTTACAATAATGCAGTCGTCTGCATAACAGTAAATTTTGTATTTTTTTGTATGAATAAAAAATCAAAATAGAAAGCAATAATAATATAAGAGGGGCCTAGAGATGTGACTAATGAACAGAGCATATGTTATTTTAGTGCCACGAATGTCTATCTTGTTTATTCTGGACCCTATTTTGAAATTGGCATCTTTTTTAGTTTGCGTGAAATTGGCCAAATTGCCAATTTCTGACCATCATATTGGGTAGTCCAAATTAGTAAATTGGAGGTTTCTTGTACTCAGCTGATAGATAAAATGGAGTTCTAAAGAAATAGCTATGAGTTTGGTCAACTGGAACAATGGAATTGGCTGAAAATAGGGCTCAAAGTCGGCGAAATCGCCGATACGCATATGTCGCCGAGACCGCTAACTTTGCGGGAGCATAATTCCACGAGTTTTCGACCAAATTTCGAACTTTTGGTGTCATTACCATCGGGAAAAGATTCTCTATCATTTCATAAGAAAAAATAATTTTTTTTTTTTTCAAAAATTGAGCGACATAGAATGACAGTTTCAGAGAGGGGCCTGAAACAGTCAAAGGGTTAAAGTGGTTTGGTCATTTAGAAAGGGTGGAAAAAAAAAGGTTGACTTGGAGGTTATATAAATCTGTAGTAGAGGGAAGGAAGGGTAGGGGTTATTCTAGGAAAGGATGGAGCTCCTGGAGGGGAGAGGGGGGGTAAAAGAGGTTATGTGTGCAAGGTGCCTGGACATGCAGCAGGCATGCGTGTGTGTGTTAGATGGGAGTGAAAAGAGACGAATGGTTTTTGGAACCTGACTAGCTGTTGGAGTGTGAGCAAAATAATATTTTGTGAAGGAATTCAGGGAAACTGGTTAGCTGGACTTGAGTCATGGAGGTGGCAAGCACAATGCCTGCATTTTAAAGGAGGGGGTTTGGGATACTGGCTATTTGGAGTGGCATCTAAACCGTCATATCTGGGTGCCTCTGCAAAGACAGTGATTATGTGCGAATGATGGAGAAAGTGTTTAATGGTGAAAGTGGGTTTTTTTTTTCTTTTAGGTTACCCAGCCTTGGTGGGAGACAGCCAACATGTTAAAAAGAAAAAAAGATAGAAATGAAGCATCTTTTATCAAACCAAAGCTTTGAGTCTTTTACAGCAGCCAAAGAAAATGGAGTACATGCAAAAACTGAAGAAACTTTGGTTTGACCTCTTTAGAAATTGAATTCATCTGCATAATGTTAACCCTTTCAGGGTCCCTAGGCCCTCTCCCAGACATGTTCTCAGGGTTGCCAAAATTTCAAAAAAAAAAAAAAAAAAATATTTTTCTTATGAAAAGATAGAGAATCTTTTCCCAATCATAATGACACCAAAAGTATGAATTTTGATGGAAAACTTACAGAATTATGCTCTCATGAAGTTAGCGGTCTCGACGATGTTAATGCATCGGCGATTTTGCCCACTTTGAGCCCTATTTTCGGCCAATTCCAGTGTACTAGTCGATAAAAATCACAACTATTTCGCTAGAACTCCATTTTTTCTATCGAATGAGTACAAGAAGCCACCCATTTACCGACTTCAACTATCCAATACAGTGGTCAGAATTTAGCAATTTTGCCAATTTCTCACAAATTTCAAAAGATCCCAATTTCCAAACAGGGTCCAGAATAAACAAGAAAGACATTCCTGGCACTAAAATAACATTTCCTCTGTTCATTAGTCACGTTCCCATGCCCCTCTTACATTCTTTTGCTTTCCACTTTGAATTTTTATTCTCACAAAAAAATAGAAGATTTACTGTTATGCAGACTACTGCATTAGTGTAGAAATGGTATAAATAATATCAGCTCACTTATGAAAGAATATTAGACTCACCAGTTGGCGTGTATTGGACGCTTAGCATGATTTGTTTACTTTTGAACTTTGGTAAAAATCGATCATTTCTGCTAATTTGAGCTCAATTTCAAGGTACTTTTCATTGTAAAACCAGTCAAAATCATCTCAATTTTTGTAATATGTCTTCCATTCTATAAAATGAGACCAGGAAAACTAGAATATAACAATAAATACCATAGTGCAAAGTTGCTGTTTTAATCCAAAAACACGGTCAAAGTTTTTTTTTTCTCATTACGCACTGTGAGCTGCAGGATTTTTTTTATACTGCACACACTGACCACATAAACCCATTCTTCCATATGTAAGCCTACCAGCTTTCTCTCACTAGATTTGAGGGTGCTAGAATATAGGCGTACTAGTACGTCAAAAACCATGGTGCGTAAGCCGTACTAGTACGTCCGAAACCCTGAAAGGGTTAAAGTTACTGCTGAGTCTGCAAGTGCAGATAAAGAAGCTGCTCTCCCCTCTCAATTGCAAGCTGTTGTTGAAGAAATAACAGACTCTGGAAGCAGCAAGGTTTCCATAAACTGGACTCTACAAATGTCCTTGACTTGCTTGATTCAGACACTCAAGAAATGA